AGTTCTGGACTGCTTCATATGGTTTCTACTACCTCTTATAAGTTCATAACCAAATCTTTTACTAATTAATCCAGTTGCCATAATTTATAATGCTCATTTTTCTAAAGAAGACATAACTCCAACAAAGTTAGGACTCACAAATCTCTATTGAGCAACTAAATATTCCCAGAGGAGTGCACCATTCCTGAAGTCCTGCAACACCAGGTTGTTGTGTGGAACGGATGGAGCAAGTTCCTGTTCCTTCACCCCACTCCAAAACCAAATTTAACATAGAGTACATAGCAGATGTTAAACTGGTAAGAATTTATACTACACTTGATTTTAGTCAAAAGGCAGAGAAGTGGTACTACTAGTATCAACTTCCCCTCAGCACTTCCAGTCCCAAGTATGAAACCTTCCTCGCTCAGGTCCACACAGTGTTTGAACCTATCCTTACAATCTTCAACATCCTCATCTCGTCAGAGGCTAATCCTTTCCTTGGAGACCATCACAATGTCACACTCCTCCACAACCCAGGAAATTCTATTTTCAAATTGGGCCTTTTCTCCACTGAGGTTACTGTCTTGTCTCCCAGTTCCCAGCCAAGCACTGGTTATTTGCATATCCCCGTCCTCCATTAATCCAGACAGTGCCTCTTGCTGCCAGGAGGAGGCAGGGTTGCTCCTTGAACAAACACTCTCTAGACCTAAGAACAAGTTCATTTGGTAAGATAGGACAGTCCCTAAATTGGGGCTGGAAAAAGATCACTCAAAAATTTATAGAGGGGCCGGGCACGGTGGCTCACGCCTGTAATCTTAGCACTCTGGGAGGCCGAGGCGGGTGGATCGTTCAAGGACAGGAGTTTGAGACCAGCCTGAGCAAGAGACCCTGTCTCTACTAAAAAATAGAAAGAAATGATCTGGACAACTAAAAATATATATATATAGAAAAAATTAGCCGGGCATGGTGGCGCATGCCTGTAGTCCCAGCTACTCGGGAGGCTGAGGCAGAATGATCGCTTGAGCCCAGGAGTTTGAGGTTGCTGTGAGCTAGGCTGACACCACAGCACTCACTCTAGCCCGGGCAAAAGAGTGAGACTCTGTCTCAAAAAAAAAAAAAAAAATTTATAGAGGAGCTGGGCACCGTGGCTCACACCTGTAATCCTAACACTCTGGGAGGCCAAGGCAGGAGGATCACTTGAGCTCAGGAGTCTGAGACCAGCCTGAGCAAGAGTGAGACCCCGTCTCTACCAAAAATAGAAAAAATTAGCCGGGGGTGGTGTGGGGTGCCTGTAGTCCCAGCTACTTGGGAGGCTGAGGCAGGAGAATCGCTTGAGCCCAGGAGTTTGAGGTTGCAGTGAGCTAGGATGACATCGCCATACTCTAGGCAGGGCGATAGACGGAGACTCTGTCTCAAAAAAAAAAAAAGATTATAGAGATAATAAGTGTATATTGAGTGCTCTTTGTGTCTTGTATTCTGCTAGGCAATAGGGATAGAAGAATGATTTATACCCAAATAAGATCAGACCTCAGGGAATTTACCAAAGGTGGGGAGGGGTGGATTAGGCTTGGGGAAAGAGTGGTGGTTAAGAAACTGGCAAGGGGGCCAGGTGTGGTGGTTCACACCTGTAATCCTTGTACTCTGGGAGGCCGAAGCAGGAGGATCGCTCAAGGTCAGAAGTTTGAGGCTGTTAACATTAGTGTCACTAAAGTTGGTATTCAACCCCCCACTGCTAAATTTGACTGGCTTTTTTTTAAAAAAAAAAAAAAAGCAGAAGTATGAGGCTAGAGTGAGCTATGATCAGGCCATTGCACTCCAGCCTGGGTGACAGAGAAGAACCCTGTCTCTAAAATAATAAATTTTAATTTGCCATGTTGACTTGGTGAAAAAAATAATTTTTTTTAAAAGACAGTCTCACTATGTTGCCCAGGCTGGAGTGCAGTGGCTATTCACATGCTCAACCACAGAACCGTACAGCCTTGAACTCCTGGCCTCAAGGGATCCTCCTGACTCAGCCTTCCAAGTAGTTAGGACTACAGGTGCAAGCCAGTGGCATCTGGCAAAAAAATTTTTAAGCCAAATTAGGCGTGTGTGGGGGCACACGGCTATAGTCCCAGCTACAGAGGAGGCTGAGGTCAGAGGATCACTTGAGTCCAGGAGTTTGAGGTTGCAGTGAATTATGATGATGCCACTGCACTCCAGCCTGGGCAACAGGGAGAGACCTTGTCTCAGAAAAAAAAATGTTTAAGTTAGATGTCAACATTTTAAAAAATGGATAAATCAATACATAATTCTGGATTTCTGGACACTCTTGAAAACAGTGACCATCTGATCACACAGAGACAATATTTTAGGAAGGCAACAGTCAGCTGGAGCTGAGAAGGGGCTGCTCAGTTCACCAGAGTGCCCGCTCAGTTCATTTTGCTTATCTATATTCCTTAACTGATTTCTGCAGGTACAGGAGTTGGAGACATCTGACCTAAATCCCCTCCTTTCCATTTTCACTGCCATTACACTTGTTAGCACTCAATCCACTTACTTCTTGCTTAAGTTACTGTGACAATCCATTTAATGTCCTTGTCTCCATCTTATCCCAAAATTTCTTATCACCTCCCTGCTTAAAAATTTTCGCTAGGTTCTTTCTCACTATCCACAATTCAAATGATTTAGCTTTACATTCCAGGCCCTCCTCAACTCGCCTTCCCCAGGAAATCTTTTCCAGTTTTATATTCTATTTCCATTTAGCCCATCTTTCAATGACTTCTATCCAGGCACTTCCTTCCTTGTCTAGCACCAAGCCTGTGTTCAGATTGTTTCTTTAACTGGAATTCCCCTCCCCAGTCTGTTCATCTACCCTTCCAGGCCCAGACACTCCGTAAAGCATTTCACCCAATTCCCATTCCCACACACAACCTCCCCAGCCTGGGCTGCCTACTCTGGACCTTCTTGATTTTCCACAGTTTCTGTTCCACTTTCTATACATTTTGTCACAACTTTTCAATCATCTACTAAGGCTATTGGTGTGCACATCTTAATTCTCCTCAATCAGAGGAAAATCTCCCTGAGGGCAGAGTGTCTTATTCTCTCTCCCCCACAACCCAGTACGTTCTATCATTCACAGAACAAGCACTTAGTAGTTATTAAATAAATGAATTTATTCCAGTCTATAATAACTTTTTTCAAACTGGAATTATCTCAGTATTTGAGCCATGCAGGGGAACAATATTTCCATCAAGAGTGAAAATTGGTTCTTGCTGGGGGTGGGGGGGGTGCCAGTAGCTAATCTCAGCTATTAAAAAGGTTTCTGACCCTCCAAAGGACCATGGTACATATGAAAGTATACAATACATCTACAGTATTAAAATTCCAGGGTGTGGCAGATTCAGGGGGAAAGAATGTCTTTTTTAGGTTGGAAGGAGTAACAATGAAAAAAATATTAGAAACAGTGCCCAAGGATTATTCCTTTGTTTCCTGTGTATGTGCTTGCTCCCCAACTACCTTGAGAACAGAATTTGTGTGTTATGCAGTTAAGCATAGTGGTTAGAAGCGCAGGCTCTGGAATCAGACTGCCTGGATTTGCACTTGGCTCTCATATTTCTTAGGGGGATAACACTCGCCAAATTACTTAACCTCATCTATAACATTACCTTAACACCCTTCTCTGAGGGTTAATGTAGTATTAAGTGAGGTCATATAGAAGAGCACACAATAAGAGCTCAATAAATGTTTATAAAGCGTGCCTGTACACATAAGTGTCTACCACAAACGACTGATGAACTAATGCTGGCTGTTCTCAATAACAACAGTTAATAGCTGACTCCAACTACCATAACAATCCAGCTCTGCGAGAGCCCTTGACACCTAAGTTTCCTCATCTATAAAATGGGGTTGTCGTTGTACCTACATCTTGGGATTTTGGAGGAGTAATCGATTCACATAATGTGCTTAAAACGGTGCTCCACAAATGTTAGCCCTGCCATATACAGGCCAAGCTCCTATGGTAATTGGACCAAAAGGCAGGACATAGATGGCAGTCCGGAAAAATCTGACCCTTTATTAAGAATTAAGTGGAGCACTTACGTCCTGACTTTCCCGAAAAGGCTCCACGCAAGGGACCTCCACCCAAGCTCAGCCGGGGGCCCAGTACCTGAGTCGTCCCCCGCGCTGAGACCTTGGACATCAGGCTCCGAATGTGCGCTGGGCGGCTGGCGCGGAACCGAGACGACACCGGTCGAGGGTTCAGGAGGCACGGGATCCATGGAAGCGGATCCTGCACACTGGCTCAAGGTGTGTATGGGTAAGGGGAGCTCAGGCTAGGGTACGAAGGGTAGGCGGCCGTGCAGGATCGGCGCGAGGGCGGGGCCTCAGTGCTAGCGTTCCTCTAGCAACGGCAGAGAGATGCTATGCCGCAGTGCGGTCTGGGCATCTGCGCGCTTCCCGAGGGCGCATGCGCGCGTTTTTCGCGCCGCAAGTTCAAGGCGCGCACCCTCTATGCCCGCCTACCCTGAAACTCTCTACCCACAACTCCCCGGGTTCTCATAGCGTCTCCATATGCGCGTGCGCCCAACAGAGTCCCGCCCTCAAATCCCATAGGCCTCTGCGGAGAGGTATTTAAGTGTCTAACGCCGGCCCGTCGGTCTCGTTTTTCTATTATCCTCGGTGAGTGTCTCTGTATGTGTTGTAGCTGTTGCATTTTGTGGGTTTTTTTTCCCCCCCCCGCCCTTTTAAATGGTCGCGCGAGCGTGGCGCGCCTTAGACCTGGGTTTTACCTGGTTGGTGGCCAGGGCAGGGGGGCGAGTAAGGTGTAGTCTGAGGCCTCGAAGCAGCTGCGGGGCTTTGTGAAGGACAAAATGGCGATGGCGGGCAGTGCCCGCGGCCCTCTCTATGATGAGGACCTTTTCACAGACCTGTACTGAGCTCCGTGAGGATAAGTAACTCTGAGGAGACGGGCCCTTGCACAGCTTTCGACTCGGCCGTCGTTCCAGAAAATAGTTTGGAATTACCGAGTATTAACCTTATAATGTCTTGGGCTCTTGTCTGCAGGGTTCAGGCGCCCGTTTGAATAGAAGAGAGCTCACTTGTTCAAGTAAGTGCTTATGGCTGCTTTTTACCTCATTGAATGTATGATAGTCTTATGGGATGTGCTACAGTGATGATTGTAAGAATTGAACTCTCTCTTTCTGATGGATCAGTGGAGAAAGCACAAAAATTCTGAGTAGCATCGCATGCTGCAAATGGTTGTAGTGTTTTGGTTTTCAGTTCTGAGGTGTTAGTAAAGGCTGGTCTTTTTTCAGATGTTCAGCTCAAAGGAGCTTACTGATAGGAGAATGAGACAAGATCCGTCTTTCTGCAAAGCCAGCGTTGAAATGATGCTCCAGGTGGGTGTTTATGCTATTATGGGGAAGGGGATATTTTCTACATGACCACTCCATGATGAACTCAAAATGACAAGCATATGACTGAACTTAGAAGTGATGTCATCTTACTACTGAGAAGTGGGCCAGGGGTGTTCAGGGGTCTTTCAGTGGCCGCTGTTAGGTACCTACAATGCCTTCCTTTTCTGTCTCCAGCATCTCATAACCTTTCCTGAGGAACTCAACTGCCTACCAGGGTGAACACAGGTAATTGGCCAAATGGGGGTTCAGAGTATGTCATCTTGTAAATGGTCTCAGCAATCAGGAGGGCAAAATGGTCGGCAGAGCAGTGTTGCATTTTTGCTCCTTTCATCTTATTCTTCCTGAGGTGATTTTCTGGGGAGGGAGAGCACAACTCAGCAGTAAAGTTGAGTCTTTGTGAGAGTGTGCTCTTCCTTCATCCACGTACCAATCACATCACTGTCAGATGATTTGAATTGATAAACTGATGCTTTGTGAGGTACAACAGTTAATAGCATGTTAGAGTTCTGATGGCAGTGTTGTTAATGAAGAAATCTTGTTCTATGCTGATATTTTAAAATAACCATTTGCTCCCCTTTTCCCAGATCATCCCAGTGACGGTGTATTCCTCTATCTTAGGGTAAGTTGATTCTCTAGGTATTATAATGAATTGTGTATTTGAGCTCATTATCCAGAGATTGACTTTACCTTCTTGGTATTTGTCACTGAAGCCTGATTGAGCCATAAAGCTTTCTGGTTCCTCTTGTTGCCTGTAGTGATGTTTCTTGACCTCCACTTATTTCTCCTAGATGCACGCTGATCTGCCCAGGGTCAAGCTTCTAGGAAGAGTTGAAAGTATTTGTCAGTTGTAGCTTGCCAGGGTCCAGTGCCAATGAGGACCAAACATCCTGTCTTATCCCTGTTCTAACCCCAGAACCAGTAATGGTGAACCCACTGGGGTAACTGGGAGAGGGGATGAGAACTTGTTCCATAAGGAACTGTCTGAGGTACAGCAAATGCCTACAGATAGCATTTGCTTAGTTTTCTTGGCATACCCATTGATAAACATAGCTAAAATAGCTATGGCTGTTTTGGATACTTTGCTAACTAAATGATTTTCTTTTTTTTAATTAAGGAGCAGCTTGTTCCTGTGTCCATTGAAAAGCCTTTGAAGTTGAGGTTAGTTTTTTTTTTTCCTTGAGGCTTATGCTACCAAGTAGGCAGTTTCTGTGATGAATCAAACTAGCTCACTATGATTGACAGTGAAAACACATGAACACCTGAGAAACTGAAGAAAATGGGGAGTGAAGAGAGAGCATTTTTAAGGAACCTTTTACCCATGACTTTTTTTCCCCCCAGGTACTATTACCAGTAACCTGCTTGTTGGTTCCAAGGTGAGTAATTTCAATATATGCTCAGTGTATGCAACATATTGAGTAGGAAAAAATGCCTTTTTAGGTCTACATGTGATGACTTACATGGAATCTCGTTCGGCTGATGACTTGGCTGTTGAGAATCGGAAATCTGATTTTCTGTGAATGATGGCTTAAGTGGGAACAACTTAGTGCAGGATATAAGCATTAGTAACTTGGTCTTGTTTGTTTCAGGTCCAGCACCTTGTCTGGAGCCCTTAGAATGATTTGAGGTAAATGCTTTTGCAATACTTACCAATAAAACTGGCTGTGATTTTGTGTGTGTTGTGGCACTTTGGTCTGGGTGGCTATGTAAAGCCATTCCTGAACTACTTGTCATGAGTTTCTGCTCACCAGTGATGAATTGAATACCGCCCCAGTCTGATCACTGTGACTGAAAGGTATTTTCTGAACTGAGCTTGCCTTGCAATGACAAGTTCTAAAAAAAGTTAATTGAGTAGGCTTTACAGCCAACAGAAAGTTTTTCGGAGTAGATAAAATGTGCCTTGAAAATTACATAACCTATATAAGATCTGTCTTCCAAGCAACAGGGTGGTTGAGAAACTTAATTCTTCATTTCTTTATTTTGCAGGGAAACTAAGCCATGTTTCTGCAGAGCTCTACACTGAAATTAGAGGTAAGTAAACTTAAATGTAAAATAGGCTAAGCTAAAATTTCCCAATGAAGAAACATTCACACGTCTTACTTCCTGTCCCAGTCCCAGAGCCTGTAAAGGTGAACCCACTGAGACTGGCTGGGGGAGAAGAGGAAAATTCGTTCCAGAAGGAACTGTCTGAGGGATCATAAGGATTTCTGTACAAGGACAGGGGAAGAATCATCACTTGTTGAAACATTTGTTTATTTTTTTACAGGTCTGAGAAAAGAACAAAACGTAAATGGTAGGTATCTGCTCAAATGTTTATTGGTGCTTAGTACTTAATAGATTATGAGTTAAAGAGTACTCTCTTGTAAACTTACGAGTCACAGAGTGGTACATGCATACATTTATGCTTTCTCATTCAGTAAGAAATGAGAACAAAAAATTCTAAGCTCCCCAAATTACTGAATAGACCCCCTCTCAGCCAAGGGGACATTCCTGGCCATGACAGGACAGGAGGTTAGACATGCTTTCTTACACCCCCTCCCTTTTGTATTTTAGACACAAATGGCGAAATAATGTTAAAATAGATATCAGAAGACTGGCAGAATGGGTTCCTTGTGACAATAAGATGACAAATTGTAAACAATACCCAAGTCCATGCCAGGAAGGGTTAAGTCACCCACTCCTACACTTAATATTCCAACTGTCATGAGATTTTTCATTTTCTCTACCAGCTAAACAAGCACTGGCCTTGGGATAAGCAATATTAAAGCAATTGGAGTTCATCCAACACCAGACTCCCTGTACCACAAGCCATAACTACAGCTTTAATCGGACAAGAGACTGATTTCAGTAATAGTCTTCCTGAGTGACCACTGACCATGAGCCGCTGCGTACTTGAGTGCCTCTGTACCCCTGCTTCACTGTTTGAGGCATAGGGCCCAATTGTGATACATTTCAACATAAGCTTCCACCCCAGAGTGAATATGGGTCTTGTGTAACATGCAAAAATAAAGCTCTCCTTTACTACATTTATAGATCTCATGATTTTCCAGTTGATAACTTGGAGAACATCAGAAAGGGAATTTGCAAGTCCTTTGTTGGACAACCTAGCTGTCTGAGTGTACTATCATTTTAGTCTTCACAATAAAGTTGTTTTTTTAAACCTTCACTGTGATTCATGCCTTTGGGTGGGTCTAGCTGGGTACAAGAAATAAACCCGGGAGAATGTGCTGTTTTAACTGCTTTGCCGAGCTAAGAGTAGCAGTTTGCCTGATGCTGGATTTCTTAGCCTAGGGAAGCAGCATTCAAGTAGCTTAATTGCATTCTTAAGGGATTTTTTCCTCATGTACCCCTACTGTAGGAATCTCACATGAAGCCTTTGTAGGGTTTCAGCAACATTTTAGTTATACCTTAACTTCAGCCGACTTGAATTAAAGACACTAGGGGCCAAGGCCAGGCGTGGTGGCTCACGCCTGTAATCCTAGCTCTCTGGGAGGCCGAGGCGGGCGGATCGTTTGAGCTCAGGAGTTCGAAACCAGCCTGAGCAAGAGCGAGACCCCGTCTACTAAAAATAGAAAGAAAAATCAATTGGGCAACTAAAAATATATAGAAAAAATTAGCCGGGCATGGTGGCACATGTCTGTAGTCCCAGCTGCTTGGAAGGCTGAGGCAGGAGGATCACTTGAGCCCAGGAGTTTGAGGTTGCTGTGAGCTAGGCTGACGCTGCGGCACTCACTATAGCCCAGGCAACAAAAGCGAGACTGTCTCAAAAAAAGACACTAGGGGCCAATAAGATGTGGCAGTTAAGGAAAAGTCCCTTAGACTGTATTGGCTCTGTTGGGCTTATTTTATCACCCTCTTCCTGCACGGGAATCCTCAGCATGGTTTCTAGCTGCCCTTGAGGTTTTTTGAGACAGTCTCTTGCCTGGGCTGATGTGCAGCGGTGTTAGTACAGCTCACTATACAGCCTTAAACACTCCTGGCCATAAGCATCCCACTTTGGCCTCTCAATGTGCTGGGATACAGGCATGAGCCACTGCGTCTGACCAAATCTGCCTTTTCATCAGCCCTGGGAAAGCTGCCTTTGTGAAAGAGTACAGGGGCAATACCAACCCTCTGGGGTGTAGAGTTGTGTACGTTAAGTCAGTGGTTCTTAAGTGAATTTAAGCGTGGCTTAAGGGCTGTCTGGAAAGTATCCAGCCATGTAATATAAAAATTACATATTAACACTGGCTGGATACTTTCCGGACAGCCCTTGTATTTATCAATATTTGGGAGAGTGGATACCAAATGGTGATTTCCACCTGTTCTAATTCTCATGTAAATCTCAGAATGTTTTGTGGTCAGAACTATGGCAATTTAGCTGAAAGGAAATGCATTTTTTGCTCAGTAAGTGGTAGCCATATAGATTTGAGAGTTGTCAGCATAGTAACTATAACTATAAGAATGGAAAGGTCAATCCTGAGACCATCTAAGGATCCAAAGGAGGCACTAGCATTTAGAGGTAGAAGCAGCAGAGGAGAAAGTCAATAAGAGGCACTGCAAGCAGAGTATGCAGAGTGCTGACTTGGAAACCAAGGGAAATCTCCTCACTGCCCGCACTTGAATCCTGTGTTAAAGCCACAAAGGTCAGTTGGGACCAAGACTGAAAATAACTGCCGGCAGGTGTAGAGCTTCTACTAAAGACCAGACGCTGTGTGCACTGCCTTGTCTCACCCTCTCACCAACCCTGGCAGGCACCAGCCAGCAGCATTCTTGGACAGAGGGAGAAACAAGCAAAAAGAAGATAAGCAACTTAGACCATTGTGAGACTTAGAAAGGGAATTGGGGAAGTCAGGGGAATTCAGTTGCCAAAGTCCCAGGGGTTAAGCATTAGACGAAGCTGTTGTTTTGTTTGTTGGTTGGTTTTTGAGACAGGACCTCAGCTCTGTTGCCCAGGCTAGAGTGCCGTGGCATCGTCATAGCTCACTGCAACCTCAAATGCCTGGGCTCAAGCCATCCTCCTGCCACGGCCTCCTGAGTAGCAGGGATTACAGGTGTGCACCCCCATGCCCAGCTAATTTTTCTATTTTTTGTAGAAATGGTGTCTCGCTATGTTGCTCAGACTGGTCTCCAACTCCTGGCCTCAAGCAATCCTCCCACCTCAGCTTCCCGAAGTACTAGGATTACAGGCTTGAGGCACCACCCCAGCCTTAAAAGTATACCACAACTTATTGTTCACTATAGCCACTTTGTTGTGCTGAATCACTCCCTTTCATCCTATCTGCTGTTTCTTCATCCTGGACCTTTCTGCCTCAGGTCTCCCCATCTTTTCTTACTGGTCTCAGCTCAAATGCCACCTCCTCAGAGGTGCCTTCCCCAACCATCCTTCTCACTTCATCACAATTTCTTTGCCAGCATTTATTACAAATCTCAGAGTGTCTGAAACTCAGCACTATTGACATTTCAGGCTGGATAACTCGCTGCGGGTGGAGTAGAGAGGGGCTGTCCTGTGCACCCCAGGATTTTGTAGCATCCCTGGCCTCTACCTAGTAGATGCCAGTAGATTATCTCCCACCCTCCTCCTGCCTCCTGAATTGTGAAACCAAAAATGTCTGTGGACATTGCTAAATGTCCCCTGGGATAAAACCACCCCTGGTTGAGAACCACTGCATTATTTCAAATGCTTTTTTATTTGTTGGCTGTCTCTCCTTCCCTTTTAGGATGTAACCAAAAGGCAAACAACAAAAACAAGAGCAAAGCCTAGGCTTTTCTGGGCTTGGAATGGAGGTTTGTTTACACTGTTGCCATTTACTAAGGTAGGGAGATGGGGGGGTGGGGCAGGGAATCAAGGATCTGGTTTTTTTGTTTTGTTTTGAGACAGAGTCTTGCTCTGTTGCCCGGGCTAGAGTGCCGTGGCGTCAGCCTAGCTCACAGCAACCTCAAACTCCTGGGCTCAAGCGATCCTCCTGCCTCAGC